CAACTATTGACGTAAATCTCGAAAGGTAAAGAAAGAGTTTTATAATTAGCTGGACTCGAACCTATTGGTTGCCTACGTACCCGACTTAGTCGGGATCAAAGTCCACGTAGTTCGTTGTAATTTTGATTGGGTTTGAAAGAGGAAACCTAACACGTTTTATTGATCGTGTTTAAGGTTTGTTATGGAGTTATTTTGAGAAAATAATTTTTGTATTTTGATTTGGTAATCGAATGAATAACGATTTTTAATGAATTATGTCATATAGCTATTATGAGCTACTAACCATGATTTGCGTATTAGTGGTTAAATTATAAAATGGCGAGGTGCATAACTAATGTTGACTTAAGTGGCCAAACACAGTGAGTGTGCTCGTTTTAGGTAAGAGGGGTTACCACAAAGGAAAATTTAACCTAATTGCTCTCTAATCTGGCCGCCTAATTGACTCCTCCCTCTCTCTCGTTCTATTCGCCACATAAGCGATCAGGGGAGAGCAAATACCTCGTCTTCTTCTTTCTTCGTCCACCTTCGATTATTCCTCTTCGAATCGTCCTCCCTTCTTCACTTCCTCTGGAAATCGAGCAAAGCAGAAAGCAGAACCAATCCGTTCCAATTTCCCTCTTCCTGCCCTTTCTCGATTTGCGTTCCCTTCTCCGTTTTCGTTTTCTAACCTTCTCCATCTATCTTCTTCGCCCCAGTTATTCCGATCTTCCTCCGCCTTCTCCTTTCATTTCCGAACACGACAAGCAGAAGGCAAGGAAGAGGCGAAGCAATAATCTAGGAAAACCCGGCCACTGTCGCCGGCGTTAGCGGCGTCGATGGAGGCGAAGGTAAGGGATCTTCTTGTATAGGTTTGCATGTCAATTTTTTTAGTTTATCTTGGAGGTTTAGGGTTTTGATTGTTGATTTTTTTGTGTTATTGTAGTTCTGCCCTCGATCGAGGGAAAAAGGAGGAAAGCCGCCAGCAACTCTTCTTCTCACCGACGGCAGAGGCGCAGCCCGGCGGCGGGGAGTTACGGTGAACCTCTTTCCATCTGGGATTGATTTATTTTTACTTTATTTTTGGGTTTGGTACTGATTTTTCTGGATTTTCGATGATGGTGAGGGAAAGGAGGAGGTGGGAACGGAAAGGCGATGAAGGCCGCCGGGCGCCCTGAGTTTCGCCGGCGGCGAGAATGACGACGAAGGTTAAACTTCCTTTTGGTGAGTTTTTTCATTTTTGGATTATCTCGTTTGCTTGGTCGACTCTAAATTAACTTCCGTTTTTTGCAGGTTTGAGAACTAGTATAGAATGGCTACTGATCTCAACTATGGTTTGATTTAAATTTAGTGTTGATGATTTGTAGTTTTGATCTAGTCGATTTGATATTTGATTTATGGTCGTGAAAATTTCATTTAGAACTGGGGTGTGGGACTTAGAACCACAAGAAAACACTCAGAATTACGGTTCAAGTTTCAGAATTTTTTAAACCGAACAAAGTGGAAAATGAACTTTTAAAAGACCATAAACACTGCTATTGCTTGTGGTTAGTGGTTACTTTGTCTTTCGTTGATTTAGTTTCAAATTTGGGTTTTGAGTTTGTGATGAATGAAATATGGGGTTTGCTATGGTTAGACATGAGCCCTTAAAACCGAGAGAGCTATTCTAAAATAGCTTCATATAATTGAGTCTAATAAGTCTTCCAGTTTGTATTAGCTTATTATTATTAGCCGAATCTACTTTTGCTTATGGCATGAGTTGGATGTTAATTTAGCATTTATATATATGGTGAGTACAATAGACAAAACTGAGAAGAGGGAAACAAAGATAAATTGCAGATCTAACTCTTGCTTGTAATGAGCTTAAGCATGGAAGTATTAAAATGACAAGATGAATTAGGCGTGGGCAACAGCCTTAGATGGAAAGCAATAAATCTGATGTGTTGGTTACATATTTTATTTTGCTTGGAGTGGATTCAGTAACATTGCTTTTAAGATTTATTAGAGTCAGATTGTAATTTGACTGTGATTGATTGAGTTTGGTGTCTTTTTAAATCAATTTGGTCATTTGTAGTTTGATTGGTGGTAGATTGAGATTTCTCATTTATACAAAATCAGTATGCCAGTGTTTGCTTGGAATTGATTGATTTGTTTTTGAGAAAACCTTAGATAACTATCCTTAGATCCGGTGATGCAAATGACGATGATGGAAAGATGAAAAAGATTTAGGATACCCACCTTTTCGTGTAGTTTGGGGGAGGGGATGAAGCTGGTTTCCTCTGTCTTCGCTTGGTTTGACTGCTGGAAACTTCTCGCCTCTTGTGGTGGGTCTTTTTGTGTGTAAGAAAAGAAGCAGAATGTTTGCTGTAGAGTTGCCGCCGCTCTCTGGCTGCTGCTGTCCTTTTTCTTTTTTGTTGTTGATGCTTGGTAACAAGAAGAAAACGTGGTATGGAGTCTTTTCTGTCTTTGACTGCTTTTTCGTTTTGATGGTGACGTTTGTACGAAAAAGAAAGAGAGGAGGTAGAAGAAGGTTCCTCTTCTTTTGTATATTCTGTGAGTATTTGTTAGAGCCGAAGGGGGAAGAGGGAAGTCTATCTGTTCAGTTTTTGAGCTTAGTTATTTGTCTGTGTGTGTTTAGCAGGGGAAATGGAAGGCGTTGGGGAATGATCAGGAGATGAAGAAGAAGAAGAAGAAGAAGAAGAAGAAGAAGAAGAGAGGGGGTCTGCTCCATGTCCCTTTCATGGTTTGTGGGTTTTCTTTTTGTTGTCTTTCTTTCTCTTTCTCTTTGTGCAAGAACTGAAGATGAAAAGAGGAAGAGAAGACATGTTCTTCCCAGGGGAAAAGGAAAGAAGAAGTAGTAGGAAGAGAAGAACCCTCTGTTTTTTTGTTTTCGTCTGTCATAAGAGGGAAATCTCTCTGCCCCTTGTAAGAGCCATGGGGCTCCCTTTTTATAGGAAAAATGGCTACTTGTGCGCCAAGTTTTGCTACAGTAGTGGTCTGTATTTGGGTCTGACCAGTTTGGGTTTGGTCAGACCTGATTGGGTTGGCTGACTTTGACTTTTGTTGACTGAATTGACCGAAAGTTGACTATGACTTTAGGTCTATGATTTATTTTGGCTTAATTGCAAGTTTGGTCACTCGAATTGCTATAAAATTTCACGTTTGCCACTCAAATTAATTTATTCCATTTATAGTCACTCGAATTAGTTGAACAGTTCAAGTTCGGTCACTCTCCGTTAACCTCCGTTAACTTTGACTGACGTGGCGGTCAACTCTGACCGTTGACCGTTAAATGTGTGACGTGGCAAATAAAAAATAATTAAAAAATAAAAATTAAATTTTTAGAAATTACACATCATTATCACAAAAAAATTATAATTATAAAAAATGAAAAAAAACTCCCTCAATTTTAAATGACAATTTTTCAATCATCAACCCAGAATCAGAAGGGTAATCGGAGACGGAGACCACGATCCACTTCTCAGTTCTCGGTGCGGAAATTGGCGTAAGGAGTGGAAGTGTCTCTCAAGGTAGGCACGTTGTTCCAGTCGATGTGAGGATGGTGAAGGGTTTTCTCGATGGGGTGGGACTTCGACTGAAAGTAGACGTTGCGGAGGAAGAAGAGGGCAGCGACGGTGGCGACGAGGAACACGATTGTGACGATCTTGAAGAGATTGTCGGAGAACCAAGTGCAGAAGTCGAGCGATTTGGCTGGAGAGAATCGGCGGCCGGAAATTGGGTGGTGAAAGGCGGTGGTGGGCAGTTGCGATTTCGAGTTGGATTTGGATTTGGGCGATTTGGGCGGAGGTCCTGGACCAACATTGCTTCTTCAGCTCCGCTGCTCACTGCGGCCGGCGCTGAATCTCGCTCCTTCCCCCCCTCCACTTCCACCTCCGATTCCAACCAAACTATGGGTTGATGCAGTGGAGTACAGCCAGTGTCGAGTGAGACAGCTTTGATTGACTTGCGAAGTTGGGAAGGAAGAAGGTAGTTGAAAATAGCAGTTTCCCCCTTCTCTCTCTCCAGATTTGATTCGCCCGATCACTGTCTCTCTCTCTCTATTTTCGACTAATTTTTTTTATTTTTTATAATTATAATTTTTTTTGTGATAATGATGTGTAATTTCTAAAAATTTAATTTTTATTTTTTAATTATTTTTTATTTGCCACGTCACACATTTAACGGTCAACTGTCAGAGTTGACCGCCACGTCAGTCAAAGTTAACGGAGGTTAACGGAGAGTGACCGAACTTGAATTGTTCAACTAATTCGAGTGACTATAAATGGAATAAATTAATTTGAGTGGCAAACGTGAAATTTTATAGCAATTCGAGTGACCAAACTTGCAATTAAGCCGATTTATTTTATTGTTGTATTTTGTTTGTAAATTTAATGGAATAGCAGCATTGTGATTGTAATTGTTATTTATATTTGATTTGATTCGCATTTAGTTTAATAATATGCTTATTTATCTTTTCTTAATTCGAATATTTTTATTGCTTCAAAATCAAAGTACAATCCTCACCCATTCCAAAATCGTAAGAACCAATTCATCAAAGATCAATTCACAAAAACCAATTCATCAAAGATCAATTCACAAATTTCCTAATTCGTCAAATCAAAGCAACACAACTCAACTCTCTCGCTATCAATTATATTGGTCGAGATTTACTATTGCTTAGTTTCTTCTTTATGGCAAAAAAAAAAAAAAAACATCACAAGCACTACAAATAAACACTACATTTAAGATTTGCTATTGCAAACTTTAAACAAAACACTAAAATTATCTAACTAAATATATGTTCTAGCCCGGACAAAAAGTGGTGTCTAGAATAATATTATAGAAATTAAATGTATCGATATTTTTCTGTTTTCTTGGCACTTATCTTCTTGGAAAATATTTTTTTTCAGCCCTGTTATCGCGCTCAAGTAATGATGTGGTAGTGAAGCATTTCCCTTACGGCCTTACCATTCATTTTGGAACAGTGTCAATGTCCTATTATCTACTCTAAAATTCTGAAATGAACATGGACTTAAACAACTTAAGCATTGCTGCACTCCAGTAAAAACAAACCCTTCTAGATGTGTTATCAACTTGCTTGGTGTCGCTTTCTTGCTGCTGGGAGTAGCCATTTTGTTCCCTGGTCTGTTTGGAATTATGAATGGTTCATCCGTATCTGTGTCAACACTTGCCTATGATAAAGCTCCAGTTAGTCAAAAGTTATATTCCTTTCATCGAGCATAATGATGCTAATCGAGCTTTGATCAACATATATACGAATACACCTCAACTTTCATAGGCTGTAAGCAAATAATGATCGTATTCTAGCATTAACTGGAGCTGGCAGCAGAATTCTAGGCTTCTCCAACTTCATTTCAGAGGCTTCTCTCTGCCACAATACAGCAATAAACGACTATGTCCCAGTTCACAGTGGGGCAAGATGGGTAAATGACATGCATACATGGACGAGTGACACCAGAGGTGAAGAGTTCTACCTTTACAATTCAAAAACAACGAATAAATCCCATCCGTTTAACAGAAAAGCATTGCTCTTCGTTTGACCTACGAAATCGTATCAGACAACCAACTTTCAAGGATACCTACAAAACTTTGCTTGTCCCTAATGAGGTTTACAAAACCATATGTTTGCAGAAAAAAAGACCTAGATTTAGTAATAGGGAATTCAGTAAACAGTATAATACCGCCTTTAGCTTTGAAGTCCATCTCTTTACACCACCAAGCCTTGCCTTTTCAGAAGATTTCTCTTGCGCTTCAGGGCTTTCAGCGATCTCCAGGTTCGGCCATTTTTACCATTGAAATACACTTCTTGAATTTTGTGTATATTGTCTGAGCCAAAATCATTACAGCCATCAATGAAATTGGTCACTTCTTGAGCTGTCCACCTGTCGTTTCCAACACCAGCAACACCATCCAAAGTTTGATCTGCTCCCATGTTCTTCACTAGAATCACTCGGTTAACAAGGTCTTCAGCCATACCAGCTGCTGCCATCTGCTCTGGTGTGGCTCTATCAAGCCTATCCAACAGCATCTCCAAAGATTTCTTCGTCCTTGTCTTCCCAAAATACTTTTCAGATATCAATTTCAACTTCCCCTTACTTTCCTTTTCGATTCCTTCAACAAAAGTCTGAATATCGGCCAATGTCCAGCGCCCCTTGACTGGACAGATAGGCAGTTCATGATCCACAACATTTTCCACGTCTACCGGAACATTAGGAAGTGTCTTTGCCTCCACATCTTTACCTCCACCTTCTTCCTTCTCACCTATCCTCTTATAAGGATATTCGAAGATGCTCAATTCCTCAATAACATTTTCATGTCTTACCAGCTGGCTCCCAATCTCAATTTCAAATGCCCTCAAGTGTTCAACTACATATGGCAACTCAAACTCATATTCTTCAGCAACTTCAGAAACAGCAAGGACGTCTAATAATAGTTGAACAGCTTCACTATCAATTGTGTTGTGCACAATATCTTTGACAATGTAAATGTTTCTAAAGTTTCCGAAGGAGTCTACCTGATGTATCAGGGCATGGTCCTCATGGCCCCCAAGCTGTTTAAAATCACAAGTGTAGCAAACACCTCCACCTTCAATTCTGCAGCTCTGATCGTCAAGCAGCCCATGTAGATACGGGTACTTTCTATCCTTTAGCCCAAGCAGTATCTTATCCCTCATAACATCCACTCTTCTTTCATGGAGACAGAGGTGAGAGTTAACGAATATAAGATCTTCCAACAACATTTGGGTCTCTGTTTGAGAAACCAAAGAATCAACCCTTGCAACTCTGGCCTTCATTGCCAAGCTTTGAAGGGAAAATGTTTTTTTAGCAGCAACATCCACCAGAAACGTATGAACTTGTGGAATCTTTTTGAAGTTCCATAGCGTATCGAATGCAAACTGTTTGATTGCTGATAAAATAACAATGTTAGTGTTAGAATGTAAAATTAATCAGCAGCAAAATTCTCACAACAACTAATAATCCTCATTGAATCAGCATAGCCACATACACACATCTGACAATAGAAACTAATAGGCAGACGAGGAGAAATTAATTAGAGCACAATATCAATCGAACTAACAAAGAAAGACAACATACCCTAGTGCATTCATAGTTGCTAATTGGCAGTTGGTCACTATTCATCAGAACACCATATTAACTAAAATAACAAAGAAAAGAGAGCTGATAGCGTAAAAGAGAAACCTAAAACTCTTACCAGCATCAGTTTCGTACAAATCTTTAACCAACAAAGAGTGTTTCTCCACTGTTTCCAATTCATCCTTGACCAGCTTCGTCTTTTGTTCATCCATTGGTAGTAAAGATGAAGAAAAACTACAAAGAAACCAAAATCTGATGAGTTCGACGTCTAAATAGACAATCAAAAGGGCAGCACGTAGGATTATCGAAAACAGAAATCGCAAAGAAAATGGCGTACTATTACGATTCTCAGAAACAAAAATCGATTATCAGAAGTCACTGCAGGATACGAAGCTCAGAAATGAGAAGGATCAGAGCAATATCTCACCGAAAAGTAGTAACGCACAGATCTCTCTCGCGAGGATATCGAACCCTAACTGTGATCTTCGATGGCAAAGAAGAAGGAAGTGCTAAGATCCGTACTGAAAAATGAGCGCGAGTGTAAGAGGGACTAAAAGGGTGAATCGTGGCTTGTAACATAAGAAACCAAGTCGGTCCTTCCTTGTAGGCTATTTTTGGGCTGGCCTTCCCCCACTTAATCATCTCCAAATTCGGCCCATTTTCTGTAGTCTTTCAAACGGGGATCTTCTGTCAAAATGAAAGGCAGAAATACCATGTTAATTTCCAAATCATTCGTGGATATGCAACATCACAGCTTATATATTTCTAAGCTAAGTAAAAGAACCAGAAACGAAGTGCTATGATAAAGAACTATCTACGGTCAATAATAATCAAATCGAAAAAACATAACAAGGTAGTAAGAAAGAGTCAGAAAATTGAACAAGATCATTCAAAAACCACCAAGTAGGATCATGAAAAAGATCGAAAGCAATTTAATTCAAAGACCCCCCAAGCCTACAGAAGAAAAAAAACGGAGTAGTTGGAGGAGGGAGTCTTTGGGCTAAATTGCTCAGAAAATTTTCGGGAGGAATTGAGAGAGGAAAGGAAGAAGTTTGGCATTGAATTGAATAGATGATAGTATATATAGGAAAACGCAGGGCTATATGTGTAATTGTGGTGGGATATAAAGCATTCCATTTAATTATTATTAAATGTATTTATATTTATATTTATAATTTTATACTTAATAAAATATTATTTTATATAAAGAAACCAACGGCTGGAAATAAAGTGGGGTTTGGTAAGCAATAAATCTGAGGGAAATTTTTAAATTTAATTGGTTAATTAAAAGAATGACCAATTATGCTCCCGTAATAAAAGGATCTAATAACGTTACCAACGCACGCGGCCCTTGATTCGTTCGCTATTACGTCGTTTTCGAGTGAATTAAACAACTTTTGCTCCCTCCGATTACGCTGGCTAGCGTCTGATTCGCTCAAACGTCTTTATTATTAATTGTTTTCGACTTTCCTCTTTCCGTCAAACATCTTTATTATTAAAATCACGCCACCCAATTTCCCTTTTTGTGTGAACAATCCGCCGGCAAATTTACTTTTTTATAATTTCTAGAACCTAAGCTTATCTTTGACACTTTTTTTTTTTTACAATAATTCCAACTTTTATTCCATCATCGAAAGGACAAACGAGAAACTCCGGTTACAATATTAAAGAAGATCAGAAATTAGATCAAGAATACTAATCCAGTCAACAGGTAGAGTGGATCTAGCTTTAGAGCGTGCAACCCAATCGGCTTTGACATTCAACGCTCTTGGGACCTGATTGACTTTAATGAACGGGTTATTCCTAAGGATGATGATCATCGAGCCAATCCAGGCCGCACACCTCCATGGCCATCCCGAGATATCTTTATCCAGAGCTTTCACCAGGTCCTGACAGTCAGAAAACACCGTGCATTCCGATCCATATTCTTGTGCTAATTTAATACCTTCCAAGAGGGCCTTCGCTTCCGCTTCAATCGGGGTGGAATAAAGAAGGGTCTCAGCTCGTTCATCACTCACTTGTCCATGGTGGTTAGAAATCACAACACCATAAGCCGCCGGCTGGGAGTCGCTAATGAACGACCCATCACAGTGAATCATCAAAGGGTGATTACTTGGCAGGGGATTCGTAAAGGTATGGGCTCCCCTGATCTGAGTAGTAAAGGCATCATTTGGAGATGGGGGCCTCGGGCAAGAACTCCATTCATTGCGTTCTCTATAAGCTTGCAAGCAAACATTAGGGGGCCAAGGAGCTCGATTTTTGAATGTACACTCATTCCTAGCCTTCCAGATATTCCAGCAAAGGAACACGATATGGATCAAGGCTTCTTGTGAAATAGCATCCTTGATGCCCCAGATCCAATCAAAGAAAGTGGAATCGTGGGACGGGAGAGGAAGAGAAGGGAAGATAGAGCTCCAAGCTTCACTTGCATGGGGGCAGTAGAAAAGACAGTGCAAGAGGGACTCATTTGGGTTGTTGCAAACTTGACAGAACGGGTTAGGGGCACATCTCCTGTGAAACAGCCTTGCTTTCGTTGCCAACCCGTTTTTTGAACACCTCCAGACGAAGAATTTGAGCTTGGGTGGGAGGTTCAAAGCCCACATCCACTTCCATTTGTCAGCGCTTCCAATCGGTTAGAGGTTTGTATTTTCTTTGTGAAAAGCGTGGTATGCCGTCTTAATCGAGAACATTCCTTCTTTTGACAGACTCCACGCCCAGAAATCTTCGGCTCCTTCCTCCCCGATCGGGATCCTCAGAATCGCATCCAATTCTTCCTGGGACACATGCCCCTGAATAGTGTTTGAGTCCCAACTTCTATTCTCTGGATTAATCCAGTCCTTTACCCTCATTTGTTGTTGGGGTCCGCTTCGAATGACGAAGTTTTTAAGATTGGGAATCCAAGGGTCCTGGTTCACCCAAGTCTCCTCTCCTGAGCCAATGACCTTAATTGCTCCTAAATTCAGCACTTTTTTTTGCCTCCCATAGACTCGCCCAAATCCATGAGGATCGGCTCCCCTTTTTTGCGCTCATGAAGTCTCCTCTCGGGAAATAGAGGCCCTTTAGGAGGCGGCTCCAGAGTGAGTCATCAGACTTGAGAAGTCTCCAAGCTTGTTTCGCAAGAAGGGCCAAGTTGAAATCTTTAAAACTACGGAAACCCAATCCCCCTTCACTTTTCGGAGCACAGAGTACCTCCTTTCGACACCAGTGCAAACTGCTTTTCTGCATTGACCCTGACCAGAAGAAGTTGGTAAGGAGAGCATCCATCTTCTTGGTAAGGGACACCGGGAGGTGAAAAAGATACATGATGGAAGAGGGGATGGCTTGAATCACGGCTTTGAGCAGAATTTATTTTCCCCCATGAGAGAGAAGAAGACTTTTCCAGGCTTCCATCATCTTCTCCATTCGTTGGATAAGGAAGCTAAAGGTCTCCTTCTTCGAATTGCCCCACTCAGTCGGCACCCCCAGATATTTTGAGTGGCAATTCATTGAGGCAAAACCCTGATGCTCAATGATAGATGCTTTCTCCTCATTCGGGACATTTTCACAGAAGAAGATTGATGATTTGTTGATATTCACTTCTTGTCCCGTGATTGCCCCATAGTCGTTGATGAGTTCCAGGATTTTCCCTGCTTCTTGGATGTTGGCCTTCCCAAAAATAACTGTATCATCTGCGAACAGGCAGTGGGTGATAGTTGGGCATCTTGGATTCAATCTAATCCCCTTTAATTGGTCCTGTGTGACAGCCTTATCAATCAGAAAGGTGAGAGCATTGGACATAAGTATGAACAGAAACGGGGAGAGCGAATCTCCCTGTCTGATGCCTCGTGAAGGGGAGAACGTCTCCATTTCTTCTCCATTGAAAAGGATCGAGAATCTGACAGATCGGATGCAAGCACTGACCCATCTTCGCTATCTCTCATCAAAACCGTACTTTTCCAGAAGAGCCTCTAAGTAGTCCCAATCCACCGTATCGTACGCCTTTTTCATATCCAACTTAAGCATCATATCCCTTCTCCTACCCCTCTTGTGGTTCTTGAAATGATGCAGAGCCTCGTGCACGATAATGATGTATCCTGGATTAGCCTCCCTCCAGTGAAAGCTGTCTGTAGCTCCGGGACTAGCTCAGGAATCCATTTCTTGAGGCAGGTTGCCATAATCTTGGATATGATTTTATATCGAAAATTACAGCAGCTGATAGGCGGAACTGGCTAATCACTTCAGGGTGGTCCACCTTTGAGATCATAACAATATGTGTATCATTCCATCCCTCTGGCATGTTGGCAGAATCAAAGAACATCATAATCTCTCGACACAGAGTTCCTCCGATAATGCTCCAGAAACGACGATAGAATCGCGCAGAGAAACCATCAGGACCCGGAGATTTTCTTGCTCCCAACGAGAAAACCGCTCTCCTGATCTTCTCATTTGTAACAGGGGCACAAAGATCTTCATTCATCTCGAGTGAGACTTTACTAGGGAAACCATCCAGAAGGAGGTTCGAGGGGAGAGGGTCTCTGGTTCTGAAGAGGTCTTTATAGAATTCAAGGGAAATACCTTTAAGTCTACTCTCGTCCTCTACCCATTCACCCCCATCGTCCTTTAATCTAAGGATTCTGTTCTTATGTCTTCTATGAACCGTGCTAGAATAGAAAAAAGAAGTATTTTGGTCACCTTTTTGCAGCCAGGTCACTCTTGAGCACTGATTCCAGTAAGCTTCCTCGTCCATCCAGATTTTTGATAATTCCACTGTGATACTTTTCTCTTCCTCCACCCTTTCTTGTGTTCTTGGAGGACGCTGAAGCTGTTCAAGCCGATCTAGAATCTCCCTCTCTCTTTGTGAACTATTTTTGTGGAAATCCTTTGACCACTCCTTGAGATCCCGTTCACACTTAGTAAGTTGGTTCGAAGATTGGCCTCCCGGGTCCCAAGCCCTCACCACAATCTCTTTGCATTCTTCTTTTTCCAACCATCTTTCGTCCACTCTAAAGGGAGTATTCTTTCTCCTATTCCCTCTAAAGTGGAGTTCCAATCTGATTGGGTAATGGTCCGATTCCACCATTTTTTCATGAAACACCACAGCTTCTCCGAACATAGCTCTCCAAGAAGTAGAGCACAACACTTTGTTCAATCTTACTCTCGTAGTATTATGTCCCGTTCGCTTGTTGGTCCAAGTGAAGGGTTCCCCTTTGAAGCCTAGATCGATCAAAGCGTTATGGAATATGAACCTTTTGAAAGGCTCAACATTCTCGTACCCAAGAGGACATCTTCCCTCTTTCTCATTCTCATAGATTGCAGCATTGAAATCCCCTACAATAATCCAGCTATCATCCCTACTACTCCGAAGAGAGCTCAGGTGCTCCCAAAATTCCCTTCTACTGACAGCTGTAGAGGGTGCATGAACAAAAGTACAGAAAAACTTCCTACCCATATCTATACTAACATCCATATAGTAGCTATCACTACTTAATACACTAATGCTAATACCCGCTTTCCACCACAAAGCAAACCCCCTAGAAGAGTTAACCGGTTCAACATACTCTCTATTGGGGAAAATTTTGAGACTTCTTCTTTGCTCTTCCATGAAGGCCTCGTTCTTGCTAGTCTCCATTAGAAAAACAATCGAAGGGCCTAAGCGTCGACAAAGACGCTTTGCATAACTTCTTGTAAGGGGTGGGCCAAACCCCCTACAGTTCCAACTTACAATACTCATTTATGAAGAGGTGGCTTTGGCGAACCACCGCTGCCCTTGCATCCCTTCCTTGCTCCCCATCCGAGTAATTCTCCCTTGATTTGCTGCTGGAATGAGGCTTGAACCTTTGATTTTTCTTTTTTTTTTTGGTTATTCCCCCCAAGGCCTCCCATGAAGACACCATCATTTGGGCCCAAGAGACCAGCTGCTCCCTCCCCCAACTCACCTCTGGGCCTTTCATTGCTAGCTTGGCCCATCCCCTTCCTTTTTTTTAATTTCGGCCCATCTCCTCCTCAAAGGCCTGCTGGTCATGTTGATAATTGTGGAATTCGGTTGGGCCTCCCTCAATG